TTATGCGTTGAATTTCTCTATCCGAAATGCCCTTCTTTACCAACCATATTTGCAAATCTGCCCCCATATGACCTTCAATTTAATCTTTGTGATTTGTAACAATTAACTACTATTTCGGCAGTCTCGCCGGGAGGCCATTTTTTTTTATTTAAACATTTTTTACACATTTTAATATATATTAATCAGAATATAATCACATGATTTTATAATAAAAATAAAATTAAAATAAAAAAATTATTATTTATAAATTACATAATTTATACTATGAACGTACTTGTAAATGTTACTAATATATTTTTTCATTTTTTAAATAGTTATATTTTCTTGTATATTTTAACTTAAATTAATATTCACGTTGTCAAAAATATATATTAATATTTATGTTATCAAATTCTTTTGATGATAACAATGAAATTATGAAATAAAATTATCATTCAAAATGTTCAATTATTAATAATAGTAAATCATAATTTTTATCCTTTTTTATTTATACTTATCTAAAAATATATGTATATTTTTTTCTTATCATATATTACTTATATTCGTAATATAACATAAAACCAAAATAAATTTTAAAATAATTCACATCATTGTATATTAATAATTAACATTAATCTAATATTTTAAAATAATACTATTTAAACACTAATCGTGTATAGTTTCTATACTCCGTTAAATATTTAAATCTTGACACCTTATTAATAAAGTATTATTTAAAAAAATAAAATATTGATATGGCCCAATAATATCAAGATTTAATATTAATATTTATCTTATTAATTAAGTGTTAAAATTTGATGACATAATTACATAGGGTGTATGTAAAAATTATACACTGTCAATGTATTAAATTTTTTTATATTTTAAAATAAACAGTTCCCGTATCAAGGTACATAGTCAGCTTTCACAGCACATTTAGTTGCTTTCCACCCTTTAAAATAAATAGGCCATATGATAATTAGAAGTAAGAATTAAGTTTCTGAATGTGTTACACCAGCTTGCCGACTGCCCAATCAATTAAATACGAGTAAACTTTACAATACTACTTTACTTTTGGAATCCAAAGCAGCCCCTCAGTGGGCTGTTGATAAAGTACAGTAATTTGAATAGTCTAAATAAGGTATAAAAAATCTTTTATTTTTAATATTTGCATAATTTATGCATATTTTCATTATATATCTTACTTTTTTTTGTTGTATTTTAGACCATTTAACCTAACATTTATTCCAAATATTTTTCTTTAATATTATTATTTTAAATATTGGAAATAGAATTTTTAAAATCTACAAACTAAATTAAATAATTGTTATATGTCAATATAATAATTAATTGATCTTTTACTTATAGAATTTAAAACTCTGTCGAAACTTATATATAGGTTTTCTTTATTTTTTTTATTTTTGTGTTTTTATTATATTTTACAAAAAATAAGAAAGTAAATATATTAAATCAAACGGGAGTTAAAATTTAAAAATATATTTTATTATTTTCTGGTAGGGGAACATGATCAAAGGAATTTTTCATCTAGGAAAGCAAAAGCGTTGTTTTACTATCCGAAAGGAGAGTTGCAATTTGGTAATTAAACGGCAATTTGGGTGGCGAAAGATAAGAGTGTGCGTCCACGTCGATGCAGTGGCAAACACGTGTCGAAGTGGTATCCTAGAGAGAAAATATCTGAACCTGCTCTGCCACCACAGGCTGCCACCTCATCAATGTGCGAGGAAGATATTTATTTTAACGTCAGGACGTGGCGGGGACGGGAATCCATGATCTGATCCCCTTCCTTCCCCGCAATTCTATGGTCGCTTAACCTTTTCAGTCAAATCAATATTAACTAATTTTTACTAAATTATACTTCTTATAAATTACAATCGTTCAAAAATCTGACGTAGAATTTAAAAATATCGAAAATAAAATAAAAATAATTTTTAAATAAAAGGGTAAACATACTTTCCGTTAATTCTTTATTTTTATATTTTCTTATTCAAGACTTTTGTTAACTACAAAATTATGAGATTTAATTAGTTTTAAAATCATTTTTAATTACTATCAAATTAAATTTTAATTAATTTTTGTCATAACTCTATTACATATTAAATATATTACACTAATCTTTGATCCAATTTCACATTAGTTTTGACTTCTAAGATAAATGTATTAAATTATCTATAGTTAAAATAATAATAAAAAAGTTTAACAATAAAAAATGAATTAAAATGAAAAAAAATAAAAAATCACGAATCTCACATCAATAAAAAATGAAACGAGTCTTAGGTATATAAATATTAATCTTCCACCACCTATCAAACATGTCTTTTGAGTTGAGAACATGAACTTATAATTTATAAAGACAACACGGGATTAGACTTAAGTTCTGACTCATGACAAGTGGTATCAAAACAAATTCAGATCTTTATTGATGTGGGCTAAGGATCAAGATAAACCTAAACTAGTATAAGAGCCCCTCTCTTCTATGATAAAGAGATGTCTCATGATAAGTCAAGTGGTATCAAAACATATTCGAATCTTTATTGATGTGGGCCCCATGAGAAATATAAGGTTTGAAGTAGACTTAAATTAATATAAGAGTCCATCTCTTCTATGATAAAAAGACGTCCCATGCTAAGTCAAGTGGTATCAAAGCAAATTTGAATCTTTATTGATGTGGGTTCCATGAGAGATATAAGGTTTGAAATATACATAAATTAATATAAGAGTCTATCTTGCACAAAGAAAAAAAAAGAAAAGAAATAACAAAAAAAAAGAGAAAAGAGATAAGTTATGAAATGAAAAAATAAATAAGGAAAGGGTACATTTATCTTTACATTTAAAATTAACTTGGTAATTACTACTATTTTCGAAGGTAAGTGTATTTTCAACCAAATTTTGTAAAGGTGAGGAGATGTTTTTCAAATTAATTAAAGTAAGTGTATTACGAATTAAATCTTTACGAGTTTTCATATTTTATTGAGTGACTTGTTGAATTTATTTATAAAATATATATTATTTAAATATATAATTGCATTATCATATATCTAAATATATTTAAATAACAAAATAAATATTTAATTTAATTTAAACTTAAGACAATTGAATAATTACAATCTATATATGTAATTTTCTTTTTTTAAATTGAGAGACGGAGATTCGAATACTATCAAAAGTTCAATTATTGCTAAGATAAAATTCTCGTCGGCCTTGATTCTTGTCATATGCAACCATCCTCTCAAATCTCAATCCCGAAATCAGGCTCTTCTCTCTGAGTTCAATCTTCCCCCATTGAGACGAACTCCCAAATCAAGCTCCTGGTTTCCCCATAAACGGACTCATGTTCTATAGTTCCCCTGCATCGACAAGCATAGGACAAAGAGAAAGGAGAGATGGGGTCACACTATTTCGGGCATGAACATCCATGCCACCATAAACATCTTCTTCTCTTGCATGATATGCCAAGAAACCAATCAAAGAGGAATTTCTTATTGTTATTACACCTTGCTATATAGCCATTCACATTGCATGTCTGTCACCGCCGTCTATTATTGAAGATAAAGGTCATC